ACCACTGCGTCTCCTACAGTCACTGCGTCTTGTCAGGTAGCTGCGTCGGGTCAGGTGTTTGCTGCAGCGTCCAGGTCTGGTCCTGAGTCTGCCCCCTGCTCGTGTCGCCTCCTGTCTCACGAGACTCTCTTCTGGCACCACCGCCTTGGTCACCCCTCCCTGCCTCGTCTCCGAGGCATGGCCTCCCGTGTCCTTGTCTCTGGTCTTCCCCGGTCCCTCCCTCCCCTTCCTCCAGGGCCTGGCCCTACCTGCGTCCCCTGTGTCGAGGGGCGGCAGCGGGCTGCCCCTCACTCCTCCCATTTTCCTCCGACAGAGGCCTCGCTGCAGACGCTTCACATGGACGTGTGGGGCCCAGCCCGCGTCCGTGGACAGGGTCACGAGCGCTACTTCCTGCTGGTGGTTGACGACTACTCGCATTACACCACAGTCTTCCCCTTGCGCAGCAAGGGTGATGTCACTGAGGTGTTGATCGACTGGATCCGTGCAGCTCGTCTCCAGCTCAGGCGGAGCTTCGGCTTGGACTTTCCTGTTTTGCGTCAGCACTCTGACAGAGGCGGAGAGTTCTCCTCTGGCCTTCTGCGAGCCTACTGCCGTGCACGAGGCATCCGCCAGAACTTCACGCTTCCGGACTCTCCACAGCAAAATGGGATTGCTGAGCGCCGCATTGGCATGGTCATGGACGTCGCCCGTACGTCCATGATGCATGCGGCTGCCCCCCATTTTCTGTGGCCGTTTGCGGTCCGGTACACGGCGCATCAGATCAACCTTCAGCCCAGGGTCTCCATGCCGGAGACCTCCCCAGCTTTGCTATGGACGGGGAAGGTTGGCGATGCGTCTGCGCTCCGTGTCTGGGGATCTCGGGCGTTTGTTCGCGACTTGTCTGCGGACAAGCTGTCCCCTCGTGCTGCTCCTTGCGTCTTCTTGGGTTTCCCCCCTGACGCGCCAGGGTGGCAGTTCTACCACCCCACCTCTCGCCGTGTTCTGTCCTCCCAGGACGTCACGTTCGACGAGTCGGTCCCCTACTACCGTCTCTTCCCCTACCGCACTCCGTCCCTCCCCCCGCCACCGCTCTTTCTTGTGCCAGGTCCCCCCCCCGGTAGACCCCCTTCCCCCTCAGGGTCCTGCCCCTTCAGGTGTGTCCCAAGTAGACGGTGTTGAGCTTGTCGAGGTTGCTGGTGACTCTGGTGCTGCTGAGGGTACTAAGCCTGGGGGTGCTGACTCTAGGGGTGCTGAGCGTGTGGGTGCTACGCCTGGGGGTGCTGAGCCTAAGGGTACTACGACTAGGGGTGCTGAGCCTGGGGGTGCTGAGTCTGGGGGTGCTGAGCCTGGGGGTGATACGCGTGGGGGTGCTGAGCTTGGGGGTGCTGAGCCTGGGGGTGCTACGCTTGGAGGTGCTGAGCCTGGGGTTGCGGAGCCTGAGGGAGCTGGGCCTGCTGGTGCTGTGCTTGGCGGTTCTCCATGTGCTTCGTCTCGCCGGGAGCCACTCTCTCCATAGGAGCTGCGTGAGTGGTTTGCTCGGCGCTGGAGGCGAGCTGCTGGAGCTGGAGGTGCTGTGCGTACTGGAGGTTCTGCTGCTGCTGAGGTAGCAGGTACCACGGGTCCCGGAGGTGCTCGTACTGGGAGTACTGGAGCTGCTGGGCCTGCGGGTACATCAGGAGCTGGAGCTGCTGCGGGTGTTGGCGCTGAGGCTACTGTTGTCGGTCCTGGTGGCGGTCCTGCTGGGGGTACTACTGGTGCTGCTAGAGGTACTGGAGCTGGAGCTGCTGCTGGTGCTGCTGCTGCCGTTGGGGGTACTAGTGCTGTCCCTGCTGTGTCTAGAGTCGCCGCGCGGCCTCGGCCGTACTTTGTTCGGCTCCTTCAGCAGGTTCTTGGTCTCCCGCATTCTACTGGTCCTCCTCCTCCCTTATAGTGTCCACAGCCTGTCCTGTCGTAGTTTCAGTTACAGCCGGCCTCCCCACTGCCTGCTCCGTCTCCATACAGTGGTCCTACTGGAGGTCTTGCTGTGCGTCATGAGCCTGCGTCTCGCCTTGCGTCGCCTGTCCGTGCTGCTCGCACTAGTGGTCGCGGTTCGAGTCAGCGTCCTCCTTCTGTCCCTAGCACGCACCGGATGTCTCTGCGTCCGTCTACTGCTCCTCTGCGTGCCATTTTGCCTTCTCCTCCTGAGTCTTCTCTTCCTGCTCTTGCCGACCCGGAGTCGGACTCTCTTCGTGCTGCCAGTCCTACTGTCACGCGTCTCCTTGCTACTGTTGTCACTGACCCTTCCTTTGAGTCCACCGTTGCGTTTGCCCTAGTTGCTGAGCTCGTCGACTTTGCTGCTCGCTGTCGCCTAGACTACGCCGCCAGTCTTATTGCTGAGTCTGAGTCTGTCTCTCCTACGTCCGTCGAGGGTGAGTGTGCCCTTGGCACGGACGTCCTCGAGGACAGGCAGGAGGAGTTCCAGTGCTTGGCTGCTGCTTCACCTCATCTCGTGTCCGTACTGCTTACCCCTGAGGAAGACCCGGATGCACTTGACATCTCGACTCCGCGCTCTTACGCGGAGGCGATATAGAGGGTCCCTACTCCTCTCAGTGGCAGGCAGCTATGGACGCATAGATGGCTTCCTGGAAGTCCACAAGCACCTACATGTGGAACTCCTCCTGCCTGTCCTCAAGGACGTCCGTGCCCAAGGCACACTCACCCCCGACGGACGGAGGACAGACAGACTCAGACTCAGCGACAAGACTAGCAGCGTAGTCTAGACGACAGCGAGCAGCAATGTCGACGAGCTCAGTAACTCGGGCAGACGCAGCAGTGGACTCAAAGGAAGGGTCAGTGACGAAAGTAGCAAGGAGATGCGTGACAGTAGGACTGGCAGCACGAAGAGAGTCTGACTCCGGGTCGGCAAGAGTAGGAAGAGAGGACTCAGGAGGAGAAGGCAAAGGGGCACGCAGAGAGGCGGCGGGGCCGCAGGTAGGCGGCGGGGCCGCAGGTAGGCGACGGGGCCGCAGGTAGGTGGCGGGGCCGCAGGTAGGCGACGGGGCCGCAGGTAGGCAACGGGGCCGCAGAAAGGCGGCGGGGTCGCAGGTAGGCGACGGGGCCGCAGGTAGGTGGCAGGGCCGCAGGTAGGTGGCGGGGCCGCAGGTAGGCAACAAGGCCGCAGGGTCGGGGCCGGGTCGGGAAGGGCGGCGCGAGGGCCGCGGGGTAGGCGACGGGGCCGAAAGGGCGGCGAATCGGGGCCGCGAAGGGCGGCTCGAGGGCCGCGGGGTAGGTAACGTGGCCGCTAGGGCGGCAAATTTGGGCCGTCAAGGGCGGCGCGACACAGCCGCTAGGGCGGCGCGACACACTGAGAAAGGGGGAGCGCGACTCGGGCAAGGGCGGAGCGCGCTCCGGGCAGGAAAAAAAAAATCGAATCGGTGGGCCCAAGGAACAGTTCCCACGAGGGAACCTGCTCGATACCATGAGAAAACTGAAACGAGAATGAATGCACTATGAAAGAGTTGGGTACAAGTACTAACCCTAATTGGGTTGTACCCTATATGGGCTACCCCACTACAGCCTACACAAAAGCATAAGCTATAATGTTCTGACAGAAGCTGGTTCTGAGATGTTGAAAAGGGTCTACAAACAGAAAGTTAAATGAAGTGATGAATACAAGCAAAACAAAAGCTAAAATAGGCAGAAAGTGAAGAGAGCTAGCTTGGAGGCGACTTGGGCTGGTCAAGGTGAGGAATTTGGTACCCAAGGGACTTGGGGTGGCCATATGGGTGCTCAAGTCGCCCACAGTCAAGATGGGGACGTGAGGGACCCTCAAAGTGGGCCATGAAGCGCCCCCTCTGAGAAGATTAGAACGGGAATGATGTGAACTATGAATGAAGCGAGTACAAATATGAAACCCTAGTTGGGTTGTACCCCCTATGGGATACCCCACTATAGCCTACACAATAGCATAAGCTATAAAGTTCTGACACCCTCTAGTGGAACCTCGATTCCACGAATTGGAAACGCGAATTCCAAGGTGGAGCCGCGTTTCCAATGTTGAAATTCGTGGGTCCAGGCTGGAGCCGCGTCCCCAAGGATGGGAAACGTGCTAGGGTGCCCCAAAGCCGAATTTGGGGTGCCTAGCACTTGATAGAGTCACTCAGGGGGCACCCTATAACTAATATAACCCAACCCCTATTGTCTACACTATTATAATGTAAGCAAATACATACAAAAAATAAAACAAACTAGTGAACTAACCTTCAGCATAATTAAAGGAAAATAAGTACCTAACAACACTTTTCAATACCAGCAGCGGTGTGTCCTTGTCGCTCCTAGGTTCTCACCGAGCCTAGGATCGCGCACAACTTTTAGCGACCTCTCTGTTCGTACTGCTGCTGCTTTATGTATGCCTTACACCAGCCCTTCATGACTCTCGGTCCCACCAGGAACCTTGGCTACAACGACTTGACAGGCACCATTCCCGGCTTTCTTGGCAACCTCCCAACACTTCCTCACATGTGAGTGCCGTTGCTTGCCTTTGGGTTGACATGTGAACCTCATCGCATCCGCACCACATGCCATGTGTTACCCGTATTACATCCGCACCACGCTATGTTGGAAAAGTCGCCAGAAACCATAAGCGCACTCCGTATAGTCGTTCACGAATATACGATGTACGCAAGTCGCACGTATATTCGTTGGCGAAAGTTCGGGCTGACCCGAAAAAAAACCAGATTTCATTAGTCGCGCACGAATTGCGAATGTGCGACGCGACTCAAAATGTACGCACGTCCCACCCCAATTTGTACGCACGTCCCAACCACATCGTCACCCACACCTGTCAAAATGTGGGGACGTGGGAAAATTTGAACCGCAGTGCACCCTATGCTATCGCGCGACTCCAACACACAAACACGAATGTCGTCAACCAGCGTAGGTGGTTCAACCACATCCTGGACTATAAGGTAAGCTCTCATTCCCGTCATCTGTATTATCTCTCTCGTTCATTCTCTCTCAACACTCCCGCTCACCTGCACTTGATGTCGACTCCTTCTGGTACTCCCGCAAGTGCCACTAGTGAGGATCCTAGTGTTTCGAATGACGCGACCATGGCGGACGACGAGGATGTTCCTGTGAACACCCATGTTGTTTTTAAGCATTTCCTTACCTCTACTGAAGGTACCTCGAATGGTCCTGAGCGTACTCTCCGCATATGCCGGCACTGCAAGCTTAAGTTCGTAGGGGGCGCCTTCCGTTGCGCGCAACACATCACGCGCTGGAAAGGGCTGAAACGGAAGGACGTCCGTCTTTGCAAGGCGCCTATCCCTTCTGCTGACCGCGGCGCCGTCCGCAAATTGTACGAAGGCAAACACGCCTGCAGGGAAGGGAAGAAGAAGGCGGAGGAGATGGCGATCGAGGCGTGTGCGGGTGGAGCGAAGAAGCAGTGCATCGAAGACTTCTACGGGGAAGGGGCGTCGTGTGCGAAGGAATCGACAGACGACGCCATCTGCCTCATGTGGGCGGCACTTCACCTCCCGGAGCATCTCGCAGATCACCCTCACTGGCGCAACGCTGTGCGCTGCATCACGGACGCGGGCCATGGCTACGTTCCCCCGAAGCGGCGGTATGTTGGTGGCACCGGCCTTGTGCGCTGCCGCGAAAAGATCGAGAGGGGGCTCACTACCATGACTGCGAGCTGGAAGCGGGATGGCGTGACGATAGGCTCGGACATGATGACGGACAAAAGTGGCCGTCCCCAAGCCAACATCCTGCTCATCAATGATTCCACTGCAGTGTTCACCGAAAGCATCGACTGTAAGTTGGAGACGAAGACGGGAGGCTACATTGCATCCGTTTTGTGCCCGATCATTGAGAAGGTGGGGCCCGCCAACATAGTTGCGTTATGCATCGATGGGGGCAGCAATTATGCGGCTGCATGTAGGGAACTCATGCTTGAGTATCCTCACATTGAGCATGTGCCGTGCGCTACTCACATCATGGATCTGCTCATGGAGGACATTGGGAAAATGGATTGGGCGAAGGACATTGTCGCTAAGGCGGGGGTGATTATTACCTTTGTGCGTGCCCACCATTTCACCAAAGGTTACATGCGAAGCCCGCAAGTGAAGGGAGGGAAGGGGAAGCAGGTGCTGAAGCCGGCGGGCACCAGATTTGGCACGCAATTCATCGCGGTGCAGCGGCTTTGCGAGGTGCGGAGTGCATTGACGCAGATGGTGCTGAGCCCGGAGTGGCAGGCTTGGGCGAAGGGGAGGAAGCCGCCAGTCGAGCCCTTCGCAACCATGATCATGGATGCCGTGTGGTGGAAAGGTGCGGAGTTCTTTGTCGCCCTCCTGAAGATCCCCTTTGTCGTCATGCGCAAGACCGACTCGACGGCCAAGGGCATGATGGGCAGGATGTACGATCTGATGCTGTAGCTCACGGAAGACATCAATGCGAAGCTGGAGGAGGAGGAGGCGGGATTGGTGCTGTCCAGCAGTAAATGCACGGAGGTGACCAACATCGTCCAAAAGCGCTGGGACTATAGCATGGCGTGTGCCATGCACGTGGTTGGCCGGATCCTCAACCCAGTCAACCAAGAGGAAGGCATCTTCCGCACCGACCTGGAGTGTACTCGCGTCTTCAAAGCGTTTGTCGCTCGTCACTACGCAGGGCAGACCGTCACGCGCAAGGATGGCGAGGAGTGTCAGAACATTATAGCTTATGCTATTGTGTAGGCTATAGTGGGGTATCCCATAGGGGGTACAACCCAACTAGGGTTTCATATTTGTACTCGCTTCATTCATAGTTCACATCATTCTCGTTCTAATCTTCTCATGGTATCGAGCAGGTTCCCCCTTGGGAACTGTGCTTAGGGCCCACCACATCGAGTTTTTTTTTTTTCCTGCCCGAAGCGCGTTCAGCCCGAGTCGCGCTCCGGGCCCTCACTTCGTCGAGCCGCCCTAGCGGCCCTTCACTGCGGCCCCGCCGCCTGTCTCAGCGGCCTCGCCGCCCTTATCTGCGGCCCCGCCGCCTCTCTCGTTGCGGCCCCGCCGCCCTTCACGGCGGCCCCGCCACCCGTCTCAGCGGCCCAGCCGCCCGTCTTCGCGGCCCCGCCGCCTCTCTCGCTGCGGCCCCGCCGCCTCTCACTGCGGCCCCGCTGCCCGTCTCAGCGGCCCCGCCGCCCGTCTTCGCGGCCCCGCCGCCTCTCTCGCTGCGGCCCCGCCGCCTCTCACTTCGGCTCCGCCGCCCGTCTCCGCGGCCCCGCCGCCTCTCTAGCTGCGGCCCCGCCGCCTCTCCCTGCAGCCCCGCCGCCCGTCTCAGCGGCCCCGCCGCCCGTCTTCGCGGCCCCGCCGCCTCTCTCGCTGCGGCCCCGCCGCCTCTCACTGCGGCCCCGCCGCCCGTCTCAGCGGCCCCGCCGCCTCTCACTTCGGCCCCGCCGCCCGTCTCAGCGGCCCCGCCGCCCGTCTTCGCGGCCTCGCCGCCTCTCACTTCGGCCCCGCCGCCCGTCTCTGCGGCCCCGCCGCCCGTCTCCGCGGCCCCGCCGCCTCTCTAGCTGCGGCCCCGCCGCCTCTCACTGCGGCCCCGCCGCCCGTCTCTGCGGCCCCGCCGCCCCTCTCGCTGCGGCCCTGAGCCCTACCAGCGGCCCTACGGCCCTACACCGCCCGCGCCACCCGAGCTGCCCGACCCGCCCGACCCGCCCGAGCCGCCCGAGCTGCCCGACCTGCCCGAGCCGCCCGAGCCGCCTGAGCTGCTGAGGAGCCGAGCCGCCCGACCCGCCCGAGCCGCCCGAGCCGCCCGAGTCGCCCGAGCCCCCTGAGCCGCTGAGGAGCCGAGCCGCCCGACCCGCCCGAGCCGCCCGAGCCGCCCGAGCCGCCTGAGCCGCTGTGGAGCCGAGCCGCCCGAGCCGCCCGAACCGCAATTGCTGCTGAGCCGTCCGAGCAGCCGCGTTGCTGTGCTGCTGAGCTGCCCGACCAGCCCTGTCTTGTGAGAGCAGCGCTCCTGTCACTGCACTGCCCCTGTCCTACAGGTAGTACTGCTAGGCTACTGTTGTCATGGCTACCCCTAGTGTCCTCGCTTTTGACGCTGAGGGTCGGGCCATTGACTTTGAGGTCTGGGTAGACGACCTGCAGCTGTTCTTACAGTGCGATAGGGCAGACGGCCTCTCTCTCTTTGACCTTACCTCTGGCGCTTCCCCTGCCCCTGCTGCTGATGCTGACGCCACTGTTCGCTCCCAGTGCGCCACGCGCGACGCTGCTGCACGTCTTGCTGTGCGTCGCCACCTCCCTACCTCCGAGCGTGCGCACTTTAGTCAGTACAAGAGTGCTCAGACCTTGTACGACGCTGTAGTCGCGCGCTACTCCTCCCCTGCCACTGCTGCACTGAGCCGTCTCATGCTACCGTACCTCTTCCTTGACCTTGCTGCCTTTCCCACCGTGGCTGACCTGATTACGCACCTCCGCACTAGTGACACTCGCTACCGCGCTGCACTCCGTGCTGACTTCTGCGCCAAGAACCCCCCCCCCCCCATGTACATCACTCTGTACTTCCTAGTCACTCGCTTTCCTGACTTCCTTCGTGTAGTCATGGACCACTTTCTCTCAGTCTATCCCACCACACTCACTGTCGATCTCCTCGAGAAGGCCCTCTTAGCAGCGGAGAAGAGTATAGTCGCTGTAGGAGCCTCTCGAGGTGACCCGCGCACCCCCATCTTTGAGGGGTGTTCTCCCTCCCCCCTGCTGCCCTCTGTTGCCTCTGCTGCTACGGCCGACCTCCTTGGTCTTGAGTCGGTCAGTGCGGCGTCTGCCCCTGGCGGGAGACGCCGCCCTGGCAAGGGCAAGGGGGGCAAGGGAGCTGGAGGAGCGGGCGGTGGAGGTGGAGGTGGAGGCGGTGGGGGTAGTGGGGGTGGCGGTGGGAGTGGAGGTGCGGGTGGGGGGGTCGGTGGCGGCGGTGGAGGCGGAGGCGGCGGCGGCGGTGGCGGTGGGAGCGGAGGTGGCGGAGGAGGCGGCGGTGGAGGCGGCGGTGGAGGCGGCGGAGGCAGTGGGGGTGGCGGTGGAGCTGGTCGCGGGCCTTCGCAGAGGAGTGGCTCCGGTAGTGGCGCGCGCCAGCAGCAGCAGCGCGGTCGTGAGACCCTGTCCCCTCAGCAGCTCCGTGAGTGGTTTTGGTCCGTGCACCTACGTCCTGCGCACCGGCGACCGTGCGGGTGAGCAGTGTGGGGGTCCGCACCCCACCCAGCGCTGCTTTGGCCGCCTGACGGACGCGTGGCGTCACCAGTTCCCGGAGGCCTCAGAGATTCCTCGCTGGGGCGAGCTGTCTAGGGCGGGTGTTGCCATCTTTGATCTTGACTTTGATGCTATTCTCTCTGCCATGTATGCTGTGTCTCATAGTGATGAGGGTGACTGCTACCGCTGTTTCCCGCCCGATCCGGGCATTGAGGCTGCTGCCCTAGGTGCTTGCGACGCTACTGCTCTAGGTGCTAGTGTGTCTGCGTCCTCAGGTACTGGTGAGTGTGCGCTCTCAGGTACTACGTCGGCTTCGGCCTCCCTCACCTTCACTCTTGACTCTAGGGCGTCTCGCTCCTTCTTTCGGGACCGCACCACACTCACGCCGCTTAGTCGGCCGGTTGCGGTGTCTCTGGCTGACCCCTCCGGGGGTCCTGTACTGTCTCGCTTCTCCACAGTCCTCCCGTGTCCGGCGGCTCCCTCTGGCACCCTGTCTGGTCTCTACCTCCCGTCGTTCTCGACGAACCTGGTGAGTGGTGCTGACCTACAGGATGGGGGAGTACACCAGTTCACTCCTGCGCGTCAGCGGGTGACGCACTGTACAGAGGCTAGCACAGGCCGGCACCTGGCTACGTTTACCCGTCAGCCGGGGTCGAGCCTGTACACACTGACCACTGCGTCTCCTCCCGTTACTGAGTCTGGTAGAGTCGCTTCGTCCGGTCAGGTGTTTGCTGCAGTGTCTAGGTCTGGTCCTGAGTCTGCCCCCTGTTCGTGTCGTCTCTTGTCTCATGAGACTCTCCTCTGGCACCACCGTCTTGGTCACCCCTCTCTCCTTCGGCTCAGAGGCATGGCCTCCCGTCTTCTTGTGTCTGGTCTCCCCCGGTCCCTCCCTCCCCTTCCTCAGGGCACTGGCCCTGCCTGTGTCCCCTGTGTCGAGGGGCGCCAGCGGGCTGGCCCTCACTCCTCCCAGTTTCCTCCGACAGAGGCCCCGTTGCAGACGCTTCACATGGACGTGTGGGGCCCAGCCCGCGTCCGTGGACAGGGTCACGAGCGCTACTTCCTGCTCGTTGTTGACGACTACTCGCGTTACACCACGGTCTTCCCCTTGTACAGCAAGGGTGATGTCACTGAGGTGCTGATCGACTGGATCCGTGCGGCTCGTCTGCAGCTCAGGCAGAGCTTTGGCTCGGACTTCCCTGTTCTGTGTCTGCACTCGAACAGAGGCGGAGAGTTTTCCTCTGGCCTACTGCGAGCCTACTGTTGCGCACGAGGCATCCGTCAGACCTTCACGCTTCCGGACTCACCGCAGCAAAATGGGATTGCTGAGCGCCGCATTGGCATGGTCATGGACGTCGCTCGTACGTCTATGATGCATGCGGCTGCCCCCCATTTTCTGTGGCCGTTTGCGGTCAGGTACGCGGCGCATCAGATCAACCTCCACCCCAGGGTCTCCAGGCCGGAGACCTCCCCAGCCTTACTGTGGACGGGGAAGGTTGGCGATGCGTCGGCGTTCTGGGTCTGGGGATCTCGGGCGTTTGTCCGCGACTTGTCTGCGGACAAGCTGTCCCCTCGTGCTGCTCCTTGCGTCTTCCTGGGGTTCCCCCCTGACGCCCCTGGGTGGCAGTTCTACCACCCCACCTCTCGACGTGTTCTGTCCTCCCAGGACGTCACGTTTGACGAGTCGGTCCCCTACTACCGCCTCTTCCCCTACCGCACTCCGTCCCTCCCCCCACCCCTGCTCTTCCTTGTACCAGGTCCCCCCCATGTAGACTCCCTCCCCCCTCAGGGTCCTGCCCCTTCAGGTGTGGCCCAGGTAGACGCAGTCAAGCCTGTCGAGGTCACTGGTGACTCTGGTGCTGCTGGGGGTGCTGAGCCAGGGGGTGCTGGACCTGGGGGTGCGGAGTTTGGGGGTGCTGAGCCTGGGGGTACTGCGTCTGGGGGTGCTGAGCCTGGGGGTACTGAGCGTGGGGGTGCTGAGCCTGGGGGTGCTGAGCTTGGGGGTGCTACGCCTGGGGGTGCTGAGCCTGGAGGTGCTACGCCTGGGGGTGCTAAGCCTGGAGGTGCTACGCCTGGGGGTGCAGGTAGTGGAGGTGCTCCGCCTGGAGTTTCTCCGGGTGCTTCTTCTCGCCGGGAGCCACTCTCTCCACAGGAGCTGCGCGAGTGGTTTGCGCGGCGCTGGCGCCGTACTGCTGGTGCTGGAGGTTCTTCGGCTGCTG